TCTAGTTAAATTAAGAATATATAAGCGTGAATTAAATGGCAAAGATCGTTACATAGAGAATTCATAGAGCATAACGATATATCTATCAATTGTCGGACCCTATATTATTTATTACCATAGGTTAGTTTGTACCAAATCTCTCAAAAGCAATTTTAATTCCAAACACATTCTATGATGCAAAATCATCAAAATTGAATAAGAGAATAATCAACAATCAATCCAAAATCAAGAATTAAACAAAATGAGCAATTAATTAATTAAAGAGTTAACAAGATGATGCCAGACAGAATATCGATTATTCTGCCGGCTGAATTCAACAGATAATTAACAGGGAAAAGCGCAAGAGAAAATGCCAAGAAAATTCTTTATTATTCATCCAACATGCGAAAATAATCCACAAACCGGGTTATATAGTTAAAAAAAATCATAATTATCGGAATTTTACAAAAAAATAGCAAAATCTCAATATTCATACCAAAATGAAGTACGTAATAAAAGAAATAATATCACAAAAATATGACTTAAATCGAGTTCGTAATCTATGTTAAAAATGCAAACGAAATATTACAAAAAAAAAAAAGAAAAAATAACTAAAATTGGGGATTCAGTAGGGAAAATAGTGGATTTTGCCCTCGAAATTGACGCACACCGAGCGAAGCTGGGTGACCACGACGTTCGCACCGAAGATAGTTTTCCGAATTGGGTCATGAATGCGATCTGATAACCGTAACCAAAGTTATGACGAAAATATCAAAAAGTGTCCAAAAACGGCCTCATTAGAAAAGTCGTCAGCTACTTGCCATTATTACGTTGATCCCCCAACTCATGGTACCTCAGCGTTATCAACGAGATATTGAACAACTCGACTTCGTCTCACTCAAATCCTTCTGTATCACAAGATTTCATCAAAAATAACGTAGGGTTTAACCTATCGTGGTTTGTTCACAAAATAAGAGATAAAAATGATTAAATTGTTGGAATTTTAGGGTAATATAAAAATTAAAATGTGTGAATTTAAAAAGTTTCCAATAGGTGCGTCAATTAATAACTACTCTTCAAATTCAAATGGTGCTTATCAAATAGTTGTTTCGAAGAGATGTGACTATTTAAAAAAGTGCGATTTAAATCATCTATTTTGAAATGGTGTGATCTAATGGTTGTAATTAATTTAGCCATAAAATGTAACCCTTCGAAAAGATACATACAATTTATAAATAGGACCTTCATATCAATTCCTAAAAATTGATTTCTAATTCTTTCTATCTCCAAATTTTGACAAAATAATTTCCAAATTATTTTTAAGTTCCGTATTCGGTATCTTCCATTCTAGAAGAGTACGATCAAGCGTTGGTTTGCCTGATAAAATTAATATTGTGATGTATTAATTTTGGAAGAAGCGTTGTATTTTGAGAGACAAACTTCTATTTGATCCTGTAGGGGGCGAAATCCATCTTAATGAGAATTGTATTCGTATATCTCGCTTCATTTCATCTCCTCCTATTTTTTACGTTTGAGTAAGTTGTGATTTGCTCATTATTATGCACGTACCATAGTTTTAGTAAGTAATTACTCCATTCGTACTTGCATGAACGTGTTTTTGTTAACGGAATATAATTTATACACTAATTTATCCAACATAAATAACCTATGTAATTTGGAATAAATAGTGATATAACCCTTAATCTTGAATCTCTCCAACTATCTTGGACAACACATTCTTCTTCTTCAGAATCATCTTAAGTTTTCAATGATTTTATTTTTTTTGGGTAATTTTGCACCTAATAATTTGATACTTCTTATGTGGGATTCCTCTTCTATGATATTCTACTTTGTTGTATGAAATCCCTCTTTGTTTAACCTAGATTAAGCCTATCAAGAGTCCTAAACGTGCCCTAGAAGTCCTTAGAAAGTCCCCGAAATACCCTTGAAGTTCGAGAAAGAACAAAGCATTCCATTCAGATTTGAAGACAGGCGCGACCATAAGCAAGCTCGTGCAAGGTCGCGAGCTACAACAAAATTTTGGAGGGATTGGGACAATCAGACACACAGCCTCGCACATCTGTACGAGGCCTTACCCAACTCTTTTCTCCATATTTGCACACCAAGCTCCAAACTTAATTTCTCAATTTTTTATAATGTCAATTTTATTCATTTGAGATTTGATCATGCCCAAATTGGTCCCTCATCTTACAAACTTGCTCATTTTGATCCTCACTCAATTTTTCCTTTCTGGTAGCTCTTCAATTTCATCACTTTAGCTCCAAATAAGCTCCAAATCACTTCCTTTTTGCTCCGTGTACTTCCAAGTCAGGGGTTTACCTATAAAAGCATTTTGTACACTAAATAAAGTAGATATACACTCCTATAATTAGATATTAAGTAGATTTAAAAACCTAAATAAGCCTGTAAAACACACTTATCAAGGTTCTTAATCTTCAACATAGTATCAAATCCAGCAAGCATACAAAATTCTTTTAGATAAGATGGTTATATGCTACGCACCAGTAAGAAGAAATAATGAAGTTGCGTCCTCTTGTAGTTGGGATGGTTGTATCGCCAACACCTATTGCAGCTGAAAGGTGTTGATTTCCATGCAAAACTTGGCAAATAAGCAGTCCTTGCTTGTTATACATTAATTTCATCTTCTGTTCGACCTTAAAATCTTTTGAAAATCTTGATGATTTATATGCAGTGTTTTTTTTCCTGAAATTTCCTTCCCAGAAAACATAAATGTTTCTTTTCATCAACATGTTTCTTGCTTTCTATATATATATAATACTCACATGTTTTATGTGGTAAACTACGCGTCAAATGCACAAACATAACTGCACACGAGAATAATTATTTTTTAATCCAAAAAGTATTTTTTGCTATATGGAAAAGAATATTGGTTAGGGAAGTCTCACAGTCCTGCTGTGCCCAGTATTATTGTATCTAAAAAACGAGGTACAAGGTACGTTATGTTAGTTCTACACCATGTCCCCTCCCTCCGGTATTGAGATCCCAATTCGCCTTTTGTTGCGAACCCGTTGTACTTACAGAAATTGCATTTTCTGAACATTGTAATGAGTTAGCAGTAGATTCAAGAGTATGGTCCCTGATCCACCCACAAAATAATACACACTTTGCTATTTAACACGTGCAATTTGTTTTTCAAAGTTTGACAAAAAAAGTACTTGCTGCAGAAGATCACAGCCTGCAAATTTTGAGTTACCAGTCTCTATAAAGTATACTTTTTAGTTGTCATGGAGACAATTTCGTACATTAATTTCAGTAATTAATTAGGTACAATCACTAAATTTTTATAGCCATATACACTCAAGATTAATTTATTTCTATCAGGTCAAAGATTTCCCAAAAGAAAAAAAAAAAAAAAAGGGGCATTTAAATAAGCCAACTACTTGAAAGTCATCTGATGTTTAGTTCAGATTAGGTGCATGAACATCAAACAGATTCTTCTTTTTTCTTTCTCTTTTGTAAAGTATAAGGAAAATCAACCTG